TGAAGTTACCCGCTCTGATTGACACAGATACAACTCATTACTAGTTTTTCTCCCACCTATATTTGAATCTTATGGAAACTCTTTTCACCTTAGTATCAGATAGATGTTGATCAGATTTGATTTTTCTGACAAACTTCCCTTTGCAAGTTAGAGTAAGGCAAAGCTTTGGGTGTGATGTACTTCCTTTTTTCTTCCCCTCTCTATGTCTGGCCTGTTTGTGGTGGCGAAGATGTGTGTATGTTTGATTTGCTTTAACTTATTGTTTTGGGTGATGCAGTTTAGGTTTGTGGCATATTCAGACTGCTTCCAATCTGTTTGTTGTTTACTGAATGAAAGTTGTTGCTAGACTCCAGCAGAATTTTGATGTGAAATCCTCATTCATAACTTGGTTTAATAGGTTGTCAGGACATTTGCTTTGATTTTAGACCTTCACCGACACTTCTAATGGAATTTTGTCCATTCAAATGATTGTTGTAACTCGGAAAAAACAACCCCAAAGCCAAAACCCCACCACCACACTGTGGAGTCTTTAGGAAGATCACTGATGTCTTCACACAAGATGAACACTGCTTTGGGGGAAGGCTTACATTCTTCTGCCACTGTAAGGAAAGACTGTTCTTCTGAAGTACTTTTTGCCTGCTTTTAGGCTGTTAATGCACTTTCATGATTTCTTAAACTACTGTTAAAAATGTACTGTAACATGGTTTTTGATAAACGCACATGTATTTAAACAATTCACTCAGTCTCAGGAAAGCTGGAAAAATCAGATACCTGTTTTGTATCTTGGTTAAAATGTTTGTTACCTACATCCCCTAAGATGGCCAGATGATGTCTAGATCCTGTGAGTGTAACTATTTAAGATACCAGTATAGTCTGTAAAAGAAGGACAGTGTAATTCTACTCTAGGGACTGAGAAAATGGTGTCCTTCTCTTATTTTTCTTAGAGGTATATATAGTCTGAATTGGAGTTTCAAAAGAAAAAAAAAAGGCAAAAACAGTAATAAACCCCATTTACTGTTCAGAAAAAAAAAAGTGTTTTCTTTCTTAACACTAGCTTATTTCTATTCTTTCTCCTTAAAAAGCGTATGTGAAATAAGTGCAGAGGTATGTGTAGGAACAACTGTATAATCTGCTGCTGTACATAATGTTTGCTACTTGACTGCATTTTCTGTTCCACTTTAATTTTACTGGTTTTACTAAATATATTTTATATATTTTCCTTCCTGCTTCTTGTGATGGCAGAGTGATTACCTGTTTGGAGGGGTGGGGGAGCAAAACGAACCATGAGTAGGCTCTGGCCAGAAAATTCCATAAACTTTGGATGTCAGCATGTATCTTAGGGCAGTTTTTGAGAGAACAGCATAAATCGGGGGCAATAGGGCATAGTAAAATCAATGGGGATATTACAATGTATGAAGGTGTAAGATACTGAAGATTCTGTTTCAGGGTTGCTATTTTTTAATGTTTTTAAAATGTCAGCACCACTAGGTGGTATTAAGTGACTAGTGGTCACTTAAGTAGAGTGTTTTTCAGTCTGAAGACTGCAGCCCTCTTTGTGATCCCTAAATTATTTCCAAGGATCCAGAAGACCTGGCAAAATAGAAGGAAGTCACTCTGATCATGTCTCACTGTCATGTTTCTAAGAGGATGCGCATCTGCAATAGAGTTGGGAGTCCATAATACGTTGGAGGATGCAAATGTACAACTGTATTTGAATTCAGAGAGTGACTGCAAGATGTAAGAGGCTGACTGATAGTCTGTCCTCCTGTGTGAGCCAAGGTCTCGGGAAGCTGTGATGCACATGGCCCACAGAGCTACCCCACGGGGCTGTAATACACTTCTTATCCTGCATCTGTAGGAGAACAGCTCGGTATTGAAAGAAGAAAGTGCAGTAAGCTTCTCTTACCAAGATGAGATAAGAACAACTTGCAAGATGTTCTGCAAGTAGAATCATTTCTACTAATATTATTTTCCATCTTCAGAAGTAGGGTTATGTTGATAATAATTAGAAGTAATCCTTGGATGGTTGTAGACATGCTTGGCTGTCTTCCCAATGAGCATGTAGTTGGTTTGCAGCCCTAAAAGTGTCGAGATTAAGATTTTTTTTTATACTTAATAGCAACAGATTATTAAATTCCAATAGTGTAAGCTATTTTCATATTAGTTAAAATGTATTGTACTTCATATGGCTATGGCTTGTGCAACAGCAGGAGAACTGAAAAGTATAGACTTTTGTTAGGAAAGATAAAATACAAGACTGTAAAATAAAAAAACACCAAAACATAAAAGCCTTATAAGTAACAAGTTGCTCTTGCTTTCCAGGGTAGAACTGTGCTTTTTAAAACTCTTGTGTCCATGCTCTGTTCCTGATCTGGTTGGACAGAGAGTACTAACAAATATATTGGTAAAGTGCCAGTGGTCTGTGTTGTCAGGTTCATCTTGGAGACATCGGTGTCACTGCTGTGTGACATGGGTCTGTCAGTCAAAGGATAGAGGAGACAGCTTAACTAGAAATACCTTTCCAGGTAAAAAAAAAAATAGAAAAAAAATAAAAAAAGGAAACAAACTAATAATTAATAATAAATTTCCTGCAGGGTGCACTTTGCACTTTGCAGGTGTTCCTGTACCTGTGGTTTGTTTCTCCTCACATTCCAAAGCAGCTGCACTGCAAGATATAACTTGTTTTCCTTCCTACAGGGTCACTTGAGCTCCTCCTGGGCTTTCCTTCTAGAACTGTCTTGTGACATGGATTCAGGCGAGGCCTGGAACTGTCTGTGTGCTGCCAAGTAGTATCTGGTGTCATAACCTCAGCAATGTTGGCCAAGCCCCCGTGCAGCCGCGTGCCGTTACATGATCTCTGTAACCCTCTTGTGAGGAGGCTGTTGTTACTCTGGGAAGTTTGGACTTGCACGGTGTCTCCCCAGTCTCCTTCATCCTTATGTTGTCAGCCCTGTGCAGAACATTTTTTCATGTAAAAAGCTTTACAAAAGGCATGAAACAGACTGAAATGTCACTCTGTAGAATCTAAACCAGATTTCTTACTGCACTCACTAATATGCAGGTGTCAGATAACTGTCACTCTGCAGCCACACAGGTAAAAAGGGTTGGTTGGTTTAACCTGCAGCAGTGGTGGTAACATGAATGGATAGGGGTGTGCTCCACATAAGACAACTTTTGGCAAGACCGTTTGAAGACAAAGGGGGGCTGAATGCCTGATTCAGACTACTTGGAAGTCTTTTAAAACCAGAAGGAAATGCCCACAGTTCTCCACTGTCATGCAAGCAAACCCCTGTTTCTTTAGGGGAGAGAGAGGTAAAATGTATGGGGATCTGAAGGAAAAAGGGGCCTATCCCCACATCCTGCAGTAGCAAGAAAATTTGATTCTCTGCTGCCTACAGAAGCTGTGCTGCAAATATGTGTTACCAGAATTTTGTGTTTCTGCCTTCCAAGGAAATAGTTCTCTCTCGCTGTAGGCTCCTAGTGCTGAGCCTAGGACTTTGCAAGTATTGCAACAGATCAAGATTCAACAGATTGTAGGTAAAATAGTAGTTTCTTGTTCAACTTGCTGCTGAGGGAACTGGAAAACATGAGAGGGGAGTCTGCTGTTGGGTTAAATAACCCAATGGGCAGCCTTTCATGAGTTGGTTTATAAAAGAGTAACCGAACCATGAAAAGATGATGTTATGAAAATGCTTTTTACCAGGCTTTATAAAGGAGGAATGACAAAAACAGTGAGGAAGTTCTTGAGGTTTTGGAGCAACAGATGATACAGAATGCCAGACAAGTGTGTTGTGTCTGCACAGTATGAGAAACTGAGATCAGTTGTACACCCTGATTCGGAGAAAACTCCAGGAACAAACTCGCCAACAGAGTTTCAAGTTGACAAGCAGGTATTCTTTATTGCGGCGCCGGAGACAGGGGGGATAGCTCCTCCTGACGTGTGTCCCCGAATTGCTATACAGGTCATCCTTATATGGTCACTGAGCATGTTACATCATTTTCCAAAAAGTTTCCGGCATGCATACAAAAATGTGGTGGTCTTTAAGGGTCCTTTACTTTTCCCAACAAGCTTAATTAACATTACAGACATAGATCATCCTGGCCTTCTACTTATCAGTTAGTTTAACTGCTCTCATCCTGGACATCTGCTAGTCTGGGATACTCCCTAGTAGATGCTTACAGCAGCTTAATGGGTTTATTACACCCCAAACATAGCAATCATCCTGTCCTTTTACTTATCAGTTAGTTTATCTGTGCCCACCCTGGACATCTGCTAGTCCCAGATACTCCCCATCCCCAGGTCCTGTCCTTCTATTCTGCTTTTCTCACACCTTTTGTACTGAGGTCCTGAGGGCCTGAAACTATGTCAACTACCTTCAAGCACCGCAGTTATTTTCCATTACAAAGCCATCAAACAACATTACTTAGAACTGATTACATTTTGTACTTTTGTGCCTCCTTGCACTGAAATCAGCAGCTCATGGCTTTTAAACATTGGGCATCTAACCGGAAATATATCCGTGATTTCCAAGTCTATAACGTAGCTGGCGACCGATGGAAGCCTGACTGGAGGTATACCCTACCCACAGTTTCTGCATCTGCTGAAGTACCTACTCCAAATCCCGGGGCACGACCCGGCCGAGGGAGCGCGGCGCCTGCTCTCTGCGCAGACGGCCTGCTTTAGGAAGCTCTTATTTACGCTGAAAAACCCTTCTGGGGGTCGCTCTACAGCACCCGAAGTGGTGAAGGCACAGCGAAACGGCGGGTTCCCGCCGGCAACACGCTCCAGCGGCTAAGCCCGGGGAGGCGGACATCCGCCATAGGCCGCAAGGGAGCGACGGGGCTGCTGCAGCGAGGGTAGGCCCGCACGGATCCATCTCCGCCCGGGCTCCCCACTACCGGCGGCCAGCGGCACCGCGGGTTAGGAACGCGCCTGCACGGCCCCGCCTGCGGCAAAGGCGGAGCCACCGCCGGAATCCCCGGCCCCGCCCTGCCCCGTGTCACCAGCAGGAGGCGCGCGGCGCCGGGGCTGGCTGGGAGAGGCCCGCGTGCGCGGAGGTGGCTGGCGGCCGGTGAGTGGGGAGAGAGGCGGGCTCTGTGTCAGCAGTGCGGGGGATCCGCAGGGTCGCGCGTAAGTCCGCCCGGCTGTCCGCCCTGTCAGGGCGGGCGGGTGGCGTCTGCGGCCGGGCAGCCCAGCTGCGGCGGGAGCGGATCCCTCAGCAGCGTTGGGCCTCAGGCCGACCGGCTGCGCTCCGCTCCGCTCCCCTCCAGCAGCGCTGGGGTGGGGGCGGTGGGTGCGCCTGGCGCGGAGCGGAGCCTGCGTAGCAGGAGAGCGCGAGCGGCAGGTGCCGGCAGTGGGTGTTCAAAGCAGTTAAACACAAGAGGGAGCAGGAAGAAGGAGCATTTTTCATAAGCCGACAGCGTTCCCTCATACATATGCCAGAGGTAACAGCGGTCGAGTACCAGCTTACTCTCCTCTGCCCGTGCTTATTGGAAAGGAGAGCACATCATGCTCCTCTTCTCCTTCAAGTAACCACTGGCCTCCAGACTTTATTTTTTTTATTCCAGTGCAATTCTATGCATTCATTAATCCTCTGAAAGACTCTCGTCTGCAAACGCTTCTGTGTCACTTTGAAGCACCATGAAATCTCATCACTGACAGAGATCCTTGTAGCTCAGCAACACCTAGACCTACAGCTGTCTGTGAAATGACAGAGTGGTGTGGAGAGAGTGTCTAAGAGCTCAACCTTTTGTTTTCTGATACACAAAGTATTTGCATGAAGTTAGTAGCCATTTTCACAGCAACAAAGAGTAACTATTCATAAACCCAAACTTCTTACCAGCTGACATTCTAGGTTTAAAAACTTCATGTGAATTTAAGGGATACTGGACAGGTGTCTCTAAGAGAACTGCATTCACAGAATCACTTCAAGTGCAGAAACAACTCCCATAGTGGAAAATGGTTAAAGTCTGGTAGAGGATAGAGGAGGGAGGTATCACATATACTTGCCTAATCTTATTCCTTCCAGGACAGCAGCTTTTGGCTTCCTTCAGGATACGATATTAATTAAAATAATTCAGAGTAGGAAGCAGTATCAGTGCTTCAGGGTAGAAGAATGACCAGCATCAACCTTTTCTCTGAACTAGTACAGCTTTCTTCTTGAACCATTTGCCATGGATGTTAACAGAAAGTTCTCCAGACTTAATCCTGAAATGGAGCTGTTCTCAGATCTGTGGTCAAGCTGGTCCTGGTCCACAAATCCTGCCTTGTCCCTGTTTCCCTACTCCATAAAACCATGGGTACGTAAGAAAACAGCTTCAGGTTAGTGTGCAGGTTTTGTCAGTTCTGCTTTTCTGACATTCCCTGGCTTGGCTGTCATGCTCAGAGGCCATTCTGGTTTATGGCACCTGGGCCTCAAAACTTGAATTTGTTTAGGTTTTCCCAGTTGACTGCCAGGGAACAAGCTGCTGATGCTGCCTGTACTTGAGGATGACCTCTTGGATGTTTGAGAAGTTTTGATTTGCATTGGAAGATTCTACAAACCAGATGTAGGTGTCTAAATTACTTTAGACTAATGTATTTCATACACCTTGTCCTATCAGTCATTCCTGTGAAAGTGCATTTGGCGATAATCCCAGTATCTTCTCAGACAATCAACTCTCCTTAGGATTTAAAGATCTGAAAACTTGTTTCCAGCAGGAAAGATCTTTTCTCTGTCTATTCTTTTACTATGGTTGGGACGGACTCCCCCGTACCTCTGTGTGGATTAGTTTTGTCACCCCTCCAATCGTCTGGAGATGAGGGATTTGGATCCATGTAAGCATTCAGGAGCTGAAGCTTGAGCAGAGCACAGTACCTCCCTTGTTTTAAGGTTGACTAGCAAGTCATAGAATCATAGAATGGTTTGGGTTGGAAGAGACCTTAAAGCTCATCCAGTTCCAACCCCACTGCTACAGGCAGGGACACTTTCCACTTGACCAGGTTGCTCAAAGCTCTATCCAGCTTGGCCTTGAACACTGCCAGGGATGGGGCAGCCACACCTTCTCTGGGAAACCTGTGCCAGTGCCTCACCACCCTCATAGTAAAGAATTTCTTCCTTATATCTAATTTAAATTACCTTCTTTCAGTTTTAAGCCATTACCTTTGTCCTATTTGTGCATGTCCTTGCAGAAGTCCTTCTGCAGCTTTCTTGTGGGCCCCTTTAGGTACTAAGGGCTCCCTGGAAGCCTTCTCTTCTCTGGGATCAACAAGCCCAACTCCCTAAGCCTGTCTTCATGGAAGATAAATGATACTCTGGAAAAGCCAAGAGCTTTACTCTTAGCACGTGTAGGTGTGTACTGTGTCAGTGGAACAGCACAATAATCAGTGAATTCTGGTGGGTTATCTAACAGGTTGATGGTACCGTTTTTCCAACAAGTAGGGAACACCTGTGTTTCAGGAAAAGTCTTGAAAGCTGTGCTAGGGTGAGCAGCACAGAGGGAAGGGTGGGAAGGGAGGAGGTTGTGGAGTCTGGAGTTCTTGTTATACAGGGAATGGGAGAAGAAAAACTGTGAGCAGCTGTACTTGAAGTCATAGTTGGCTTCTGAAGTTGCACACAGTTCAGATGGCATGTGATTCTCCCAGTGACTTCTGCACAAAGGCAGGCGTCTGCCTGGTTCCAGGTTCTGTTAAAGTCATTGCTCGTGGACTTACTAGTTCTTAGATCAGAAGCAGAGAAAATGGGTTTCTTGAGAGAAGCATCTTTTCCAGTTTTCTCTAGTAGTTTTCCCATGCAAGTTTCCTGTTTTCATCACCTTCGCTCCACGAGGTGGCACTGTCTCTTCTGGAAAGGACCCACAGCTTTCCCCCGGATGCTGTTCAGCAGTCCGGGTGAGCAGGGTGAAGTGACCTTTTGCGGTGTATCCCAGCACAAGAGGTCTCTGTGCTGTACTTCTGTGTGTGCACTGTGTATGCAATGGGGCTGTACTTTCATGGTAGTAAATACCGTGTCTTTTTGATACGAGTTATCCCCATGTTCTCACACACAAAATACACAAGTTTGGTCAAATAGCGTTGTCTAAGGAAAACATCTTAAGTTTCTTGCCTGCTTTTGCTTGTAAGAAGGTTTCTGGCATTCAGACAAATCTTTTTATGGCATGGAAGTTAAAGCCAGGTTTCTTCATTTTGAGTCAGAATTGTGTGACTTTTGAGCATGGAAAGGAATGACCAGTATCTATCATTATTTATGGGAGGGAACAGTTTCTATATGATTTGCCAGATCCACTGAAGCTTTTTGCCCCCACCCCCTTTTCACCCCCACTTCCCCCCCCCCCCCCATACAGAAAAGTTGTCCAGATTCAGGAAATTAAGAACTGCAATGACAACTTCCCTCCAAGAATACAAGCCAAATCTGTGTTGTATAGAAAGGGAACAATATTGCTGCTGTTCCTGAATCCTCTCTGGAGATTTGTTATTTCTAATCATCCTCTCACTTGTTTAAGATCTCATAAGTAAAGCGAATGTGTCTTCTCTTGTCCAGAGGTTCTCCTCGGTAGCTGTTAGGCTGAGTCTGTATTGTCAGTGAAGGTCGTTGTACAGGGGACTGTGCCATTATTAAAGTGTTCACCACTGAAAAGGGTTAATTTAATTAATTTTTTTTCTCTAGTTGTCGTCTAGAAAAATGGATGATGATGGTGATGACATTCCCCAGCTTTCATCCCATACATTGGCTGCCCTCCAGGAGTTCTATTTGGAACAGCAGCAGAGAGAGGGCATGAAGACCTCCCAAGGGTTTAATCAATATTCCATTGGCTCAATAGAAGAAGACTGGGTAAGAAACTATGAACTTCAGTGCATGAAGGAGTAGCCTTTACTGAGCTTTTTTGTGGTTGGATAATGAAATGAAATTTAAAAAGGGAACACTAAAAGGTGTTCTTAGAGTAGCAAAATCAAACTGTTCATGGACAGCAACACTCTAGGGATATTTGCTTTAATGTTAAATCTGGATATATTTGTCTGTCCTACATGGGGTGGGGGCAGGGAAAGGGGTACAACATGGAGAGGGAATAAAGCCGCTAACAGAAACATCTATCCCTTCTGGAGATTTTAATTCCAGCCTGCTATGTGAAGGTAGAAAAGATTCTTCTCAGAGTCTCAGAGTCTGAGACAAGCACCAAGTAACAAGATCAAGTGATCTTTCTTTCACATTGTACTGCATTCTGTGGTTTATGCCTTTGCTTTTGTGGATGGTTGCTTTGCTGCTTTTATTTTTTCTGATTTTTTTCTGACAGACTGATTTTTGGTTTGCCTCTGTTTTCTTTGGGTTTGTTTTTTTTACTCATCCTTTTTCTGATCTCTTCTGATTCATTACTTTTACCCTTTATTTCCTTCTGTACTGTCACTTTTCAAGTTCCTTTTTCCTCTTCCACTAAAAATTTAAGAACACATAAATACTGTGCATCTGCAAAGTGGGTTTGAACTAACCCAGTAATCAGTGATCTTGCATTACTTGGTTTTTCTGATACCGCAGTAAATGCTTTGGAAACACACTGTGTAAGCTACCTGCTGCGTGTCCCTGGATTACAGAGGTAAAAAGACTGTCAGGAAAATACTCACTTTTCTAGCTTAACAATTGGTGAACTGAGAAGTTGTTGTGGATTTTGTTTTTCTTCAAATACAACTCACCACACCTAACAGTACATAGCACAGTCCAAAGATTTGATATTATTTGTAATTGTGTGTTCCAGCAACTGAGCCAGTTTTGGTACAGTGATGAAACCGCATCACGCCTGGCTGATGAAGCAGTTGTGGCAGCTGGGAAGGGTGGCAGGTAGGTTTCAATAATTACATCAGAGATTCAACATGTCTTTTCTGTAAATACTTTGTTTCCACTCTGTAGGCAGAGCATGCAGTGTAATTCATTACTCATTGTACTCCATCTTTCTTCAGTTGAGATATTGCACAAATGCTTTGCTATTATTTGTATAAATAATAGTTCATCCTGATCTTATCTTTTAGCATTTCATCGAATGTTGTAGGCTCTGCCTTGTACAAGTTTACTGTGAATGTTTTCTTTTTTGAGAGAGCTCCAGAGCATATCAATGATTAGTAATTCTTTTCTCTGTTTTCATACAATGTTTCTGCAGAACAGGTGGAGAAACTTGGTTTTCTTCCTATTTCTGTAAGGAGTTGGGTTTAAGTTTTCAAGTATATTTCCTTGCTGTTCTGAAACAAGATTTTCTCTGTAGTTAAGCTTAAGTGATGCAGCATGGATGCTGAATAAATGGCTTTAATGCTTAAAACTCTACTATTAAAGTAATTATTTGTTAGAATGGAGGATGAATAGCTTACATTCTGGGACTAATATTTAAAATGTTTTCCCAAAGCAGCCCTGAGGACTGCTGTAGGATGTTTTGGGGTTTTTTGCTGTTGTTTGCCTTTTAAAAGAATATTCTCAGTTGTTGTCTCTTTTTCAGGATAGCATGTGTTAGTGCACCCAGTGTATACCAGAAACTGAAAGAACAGGATGGTAAAGATTTTTCAGTCTGTATACTGGAGTACGACAGAAGGTTTTCTGTATATGGAGAAGAATTTATCTTCTATGATTACAACCACCCTTTGAACTTACCTGAAAATCTCTTGCCACACAGTTTTGACATTGTTATAGCAGATCCACCCTATCTGTCTGAGGAATGTCTTCAAAAAACTGCAGAGACCATCAAATATTTAACAAAAGGAAAGATTCTACTTTGCACAGGTATAGTTAATAAAAATGTCACCATTAAGCATCTTTTCCTCTCTCTCAGAAGATGAAACTTTCTTAGGTGTGAAAAATACTAACTCAGTAACACTAATTTATCATTACTTCAAAGAGGAATATGTATCCTAAGCTTTTCATTGGAATACTTTAGTTCAACCTTAGTTTGAACTGCAGGTATGTGTTTTTTAAGAGTTGAAGTCAGTGCTTTCTTCATACAGCATTTTGAGTTTTACTAAATCTTTGAAGAATTGTAAGATCATCCTCTAGATCTCCAGAAGTATTTTTTTTCTTGTAAAAGGCCACTCTCTATAATCTGGGTATGACAAAGATAGGTGCAACTTACTGTTAATGTGTTACTGAATAAGAATTTGTGAGTTTTTAAACATGTCAGTAGCTACAGGACTTCAGCTGCCATGTAGTACTTAGCGTCTAAGGTCAGCTAAGTAGAAAGAATGACAAAGAGGTTGGAATGGCCTTTGCTGAGTAAAGTGGTATGATTTTAGCAAAGTCTTGAAAAGAAAAGCGAAGTAAACTTGCCCCCACTCCACATTACCTGTCCGTACTGGTAAGCACAGGAGTTGTAATGTGAATGAATGTGTGAGGGAGATTCTGCCACTGTGATTCAAGCAAGGAGATTCTGGGCACTGAAATACAGCAGGAGGAATTAAAAACCAGTGATAAGTGCAGTGAAACTAGGTAATTTACCAGCTGTACTTGTAGGGCCTTCTTTATGGAGGTTCATTTGCTGTATCTGCTTTACCCATGGTGTTTAAGCTTAAACTGTAATCTTACTACAAGACATCTGGGAAACTTTTGCAAAAAAAAAAAAAAAAGAAAAGAAGGACAAAACCCCTCTATAAATATAATGTGAGGGAAGTCAACCAAGCAGCTGAAATGAAGAAGAATGTGGTCACGGAAAACCTTTGCTTAATTGCACATGGCAGTCACGCACAAGGATGGGTCTCAAAATTTCTTCCCTGAAATGGGTAGGTGGTCCTTAAGTTTACAGAGTTTGAGAAATGCTGCTCAAGGAAGTGATTTCTCAGTGTGTAGCTGTAAATACCGCATTGCGTTTATTTAAGTGGAAGAGTATATGTAATCTGTTTGCCTTTCCCATGCCTCCCTACCATGTAATTTGTTTGGCATGTAGCAAGAAGATGGAGTTCATCTCTGTTTTCTATACAGAGCTTACCCTCTACCTACTTCCATGAAACTTCATTTACATTCATTTCCTTGGGGCATCTTCCATTCTTTCAGATTTATTCTCATTTCGAAATAGATTCAGTTGTCAAAGAGGGCTGACAGTAGAGCTGCTTTAAGCCTTGCTTCCTTAAAAAAAGCAGGCTTGCTTTATATGCATTTGGGAGGAGCTATTAAAATACCCAGACATTCTGTTACTGTTTTTCTCATCAAATGCTAATTATTTTTGCTGCAGGTGCAATTATGGAGGAACAGGCAGCAAAGAATCTTGGTGTGAAGATCTGCAAGTTTATTCCAAAACACGCACGAAATTTAGCCAATGAATTTCGGTGTTACGTGAATTATGCTTCTGGGCTGAAGTGAGCCTCCTGAGAAGGTCTACAGATTTCTCAGTCATGCTCCTTTCTGTTTTTTAGCAGTGACTCCATATTTCTCAATGCTGAAATACTCAGCTCCAAGTACTGTTTTCTGGGCCAGCTCTAATCATGATAGCCTCTCTCTTTTAAATGTGTTTTGTATTGTACATTTTTGGTAAATGGGGACCAAACAGCGCAGGTGCTAGACAATGGAAGCTTCTCTGTTAGAGGTTCATTCAAACTGTCAGGTTTTACCATTCAAGGACTCTTCAGTGACCCCTGCAAAGTGATTTTAGCTGGTTGGTGTATAACAACACACAGGTGCTTGCCTCACAGACACCAGAGTCATCACTGCATCAGAACTGATGACTTCCTAGCTAGTGGATGGTTGAAAAAGCATGACCAGTGGTCTCCTTTCAATCTTGAGAGATGCTCCCTGAGTAAAAGGCTTGAGAGATGTTTGTTCTGAATGTGTCATATGTTTTCAGATTCATTACCCAGCAGGCTGATGTTTTTATAAAGGATAACTGGAAGAGAAAATAGGTCTCCTTCTGGAGAGGCCGCTCCAGTTGCTTTTAATAATCATCAGAACTACCTAGCAGTTGCCAAGTAAGATAAGAATTACTCTCTCACTATTGTTGCCAGACTGGCTTTTTAAAATATTGTGATGATTATTTCACCTTGCTTTGTCACAAACCCAGACTTTCTTTTTGTGAAAAGATCTATTTTGTCATCACTTACACCATACAAACTTGTGTACGTATGCATGCTGTACTAAGTCGTTACACATCTCCTTGCAGAAGTACAGTGCATTTATTTTGTGTTGTTTATGTGTTAGTGCAACACAAAGTCTTTTAAACTTTAAAAACCCTCATACAACTGGGTTGTTCTGTTGACTAGTTAAGCTTATCTCCTGAGGTGGTATAAACCAAATGTCTCCTTGAAAAAAGCACAGTAAGGATTTCCCCATTAGAGAGAGCTTTACTGGCATTAAGAATCCTATACATTAGTCAGGCCAAATCAACTGGAATATGAACTAATTGCTAAATAAAAATACAACACATGAGCCAGTCCTTGCGTTAGTGCTTCAGGCTGTGTGTTCCTTGATTCTTCCTTTGAGTTACTGTTGGTTATGAGATACTTCTGTAGCAATGTGACCCATACACACTAGTCCCTTAAATCTTGAATCATAATCTGATTAAATACAGTGCCTGCTTTTTAGTGGATTTCAATATCAAGCTAAGATGATTTACAAGTATGCCAAGTTTGTAGTTACAAGAACAGGCCTTTTTTCCAATTGCTCAGTTTTATCTTTGCCTCCTGTTCCACAGATGGCTGCAGAGCAGTAGTATAGGAGCATCTTGGGAATTGCTGAATCATACAAGGCCACTGAGGTATAACAGTGTATTGATAAACTCACACTCTTTCTAATAAATGTTAAATTTTATATTGCCCAAGGTTTGGGCTGTATGTCAGTCAAAATAGATGATACTTGGAAAAACCCTGCTTTGGGACAGTAGAGATTTTTGGTAACTGGGAATTTTTAAAGCCATCCTATTGACTACACTTCTAATGTATTTTTGGGTGAAAGCTGGTTCATAAATTCCAAGGCTCTCAACAGTTTTATCAGCTATAAATATACTATATAAAACATATGTACTTGTATATCATAGGTATCTGTTGGGATTATGTAAAAGACTACAGAAATGCTGCATCTACAAAATAAATCACCTAAAATGAAGTATTAAGAAATTTACTTTGTGGTGGGAATAAACCTAATTAAGCTTGTGAGACAAGACTTTTAAGAAGGCAGAAGTATATACTCATGTTTCTGTGCTTTTCTGCTGTTTGAATGCAGATTTTCCTGTCTGATGGAGTAAATAAATGAGCAGGAATAACATAGATGGGATATAATCCTCTGTCAGTGCTCAGAGAACATGCTTTCTGAGCTGGAGACAACACTGTTTTATAAATACCCATCCAACCCACCACTGCTCTTCCCCATTTTCTGTGAGATGTTTACTTCCTAAGGCTTTTCCCCTCCTCACATTTTATACCTGATGCTTCCTGCCCTCTTTCCCCCATACAATGTTCCTGAGTTTCATGATGATACCAGTTTTCTTTCTCTTTCATGTGCCTTCATATCTATCAGACTAGTGATAGGTATTGTTAAAATGGGAAAGGTGCTGTAGAGGGAGAGCTCTCAGGGAGAATGAAGACCAGGCTCTGCTGACAAGTCTCTGAGAGCCCATATCTGATAACTTTTCAGACCAGCAGCCAGCCTTGTTGCTGAGCCAGATGAAGCCAGAACACTCCCCCCAAACGACTGTCCACAGGTGATGTACAGCTGGGTTTAGGTGTTTTCCAGGAGGCTACACCATTACTTTTACTTAGGCAGCTTCAAAATAAAGCAAACCAGAATTAAATGCATAGCTATTGGCACACATCTATCCTTCACAGTCATAAACTGTTTTATGTTTATTACCTCAATGTCTTGCACACCGAGCAGATGGAGACAATGAAGGAACTACTGAAACTATATTTTTAACTATATGCAGGGACTTCAAGTGGAACAGGTATGACTGTCAGAAGGGACGATACTCTTCCTCTGCCACACACCTAAATTAGAATGTGCTGTTCAAATACAAGCTTCGCTTATGTTGCTGCTTTAATTGCTTCAATTGCTTCATTTTGGTAAATGTGTGTTAGGCCCTGTATCAGAATTGCAAGACAGCTTTGCTAACTGCATCAGAGGCCCTTCTTAAAGAAATGAAAGTACACCATTCAGTTAGACCAAGAATTTCAGTTCACCAAGCAAGTAACTGCTGCTTCTCACATGTAGGTCAGACAGTTTTGAAAAGAGGCACTGTGAAGATTCACAGTTCTGAAAATGAGGGTACATGTAAAACTGTAGATGTGCTCAATAGAGCAGGCTGCTGTTCACCGGCCTCCTGCTTAAACAGCCTTGTGAGTGCCGGCAGCTGCCCAAGCACAGCTTGAGTGGTGCCATTCATAGCCTTCATCAGTGATAGGAGGTAAAGTGGTTTTACCATGCTTGTTTCCAAGGAAGTAGCTGTGTTTCTGAGAAGCCTGCAAGTCACACAAATGCATAGTGAGTTTGTACTTTATGCCACTGCAGTAACTTTTAAGAAATACGTGACAGCAGAACCTTCTCTTCTGTAACAGAAGAATGAAAACAAACCTTCAGTATCAAGTAATGCTTGGCTCGCTTTGTTGTGGGTGTCTTACGGATGTACCTTCTATCGGAACAGGCTGTGGGGAAGTGTTACCACCGTGCTGCTTTTCCACTGGCATTTATGACTGCAGAGTTGCATGGCTGCAGTAATGGGCATCATGCAGCAGCATGATGGTGGAAGAGAATGTACTGCAGCTGCCTGCACCCCACCCCAGATGACAACTGAAGCATTTCTAGAGCTGCTGTTGCATGAAGTCCAAGGTACTGCTTACACTGATATCTGATCTGTGTTTCCTGACAGGAATAGTGTTGCTCTCAGCCTCTCACCTCCAAAGTGCACAGTTAGCCCATCTCTGTACTGCACAACTGTCCTCACTGCTCTGTCCATACCCCCCTGTACCAGTGGGAGGTATCTCTGATGGTTGATCTTGTCACTCCACACTGGTTCCCTACATGGCGCATACCCAGTGCCATGCAGGCAGGTGGGAAACAGGTCCAGTGGGTTTGGGGTTTAGGTTGCAGAAGTCTCTCCTCAGCAGTGTCAGAGCTCTGCTGCTGCTCTGGGTCTGCTTATGGTCTGCAGCCCCCTCAGACAGAAGCACAGCAAAACCAAGTGGTATCTCATGCCACAACTCAGCAAAACACATAGGACTAACTAGATCTCCCTCTTGTGCCCTAGTCCAGGTAGTTGTGGCTGTTTCCTAATCCCAGTGAGATTAATGGGTATTCATACTTTCTGAGAACACCACAGCCGTGTTCCCTTCTTCCCTGTTTTAATATTCCTCCATGCGATTTCTTGTTTACTTGCAGCTGTAGATGTCTCCCTGTTCAGACAAACACCTTCACATAATGACTGTCTGGTAAACCAAAACTAACATCTCAGTCTTTTCTCAGCCTTCCTAAATAACAGGAATTTTCCAACCTATCTTAAATGATACTACAGAGAAGAAAATAGCAAGCATATTGTTCTGTATTTTGTGTCTCCTAATGTATTCCAGTGACAACCTCATTGAAGGAAAAGATTTTCCTGGCACAACAAAAAATTTCTGAAATCAGCTGCAGCTGCCAGATAGTTTCAGCTTTGAATTGTTTGCATTTATTGGGCCTGGAGTTGGTTCAATGAGGCATTTCATGTCTGCCTTCTGTCAACAGTTTGTGAAGCCTTGAAGCAACTCCAGTGAACCCTCCCTCCCCCCATGCAAATTAAAGGCAAGGCTGCAGCAGCTGTAACCAGAGGACTAGAAGCTGGGAAATGTCACACCACAGTTGAAGTGAAACTGATATAAATCCATGATGTGATGATCTCTTTAAAAAAAAAATCCAAACAAAAGCAAACTACATTTGATACTCAACGTTTTCCACATGAGTAATGTAGAAAGGGTTTATATATGGAGGGGTATTTTGAAGGTTAACAAATGTTTGTGTAGCTAATAGTTCTTGATGTTAAGTATTAACAAACAGTTGTTCACCAACAAATTATTATCAAACAGTTGCTCAGGCTAGAACACAAACACAGGCTTCAACAGACACCTAACTGGAAAGCTGGAAGCAAATTAGCTCAGCTAAAGAGTCTGCCACAGACAAGAGCAAGGATTAAAAAAGGAAAATGGGCTTCTAAGTAAGATAACATGAGGTTGCTTGTAACCACAGGAAGCTTTCTGCACTTGTTGCAGTATGACGAGAAGGAGGTCGCCAACATAATCTATTGATCCACTGAGGTTTTGTAGTTCTCTAGTACTTTCCTTTCAGTCATCCAATTCCTGAAGTTATGTGTAAACTAAAGCATCTGTTTTTTTGGATTGGCAAGACCAATTATGTTCCATTTACCTGATCTTAGCCTGCAGCTCCCACGAATTCCCAGAACATGCTCTTGTTACTTGGGAAACCTGAAAATGATTCCATAATTTATGCCTGAAGGACAGGAGTTGCCACAGAAAGATTCTTTTTCTTCATATCATGCAAATGAGTCCATGTGCTCTGGCAACTCATATATTGCAGACAAATTTGTATAAGGTAAGTGTGTGGGCAGAGGGATGCATTTTGCTGGAGGACAGTGTTTATCCAGAGCTGTAGCTGGTAGCCCTTCTGAGTATTTACTACAGGTTAAGGGCTGTGTGCCCTGACTTTTTTTGTTGTTGTTTGGTTTTTTTTTTACTGTGAAGACTTTGCTTTCTATGCTGTGGAGTCTGAAAGTCCAACTTTACCCTGTCTGAAGTGTGTGTAGAAAAAACCCGCAATAATGAACCCCTAAAGTCAGACTGCCTAAGCAAGGATCATCTCTTGCAGTGTTCCTCCAGGTTTGTGGGTCTGTTTCACTTCTCAGCCCCTCTGTCTTTGATTACCATTTTCCTCTCTTCAGAGGGTGAGAAGCTCTTCCACATTAGGAGGAAGGAAAAGTGGATGTAATTGCTGCAAGTATTTACATTCTCCAGAGACCAGGTAACTACCTACCACTTCTGGCAGCAGCTAGGCAATTAGCTGTTCTCTGAGCAGTATAAACACTTTATGACCTTCTTTGAACTCTCCTTTGAGGAGACCCTTGAGATAGAAGCATCACAATTTGAGGAAACACAGATCTAAAGACAAGGAGAATTGTGGAAAAGCATTTGCAGAAGAAACGCAGTTATAAACTTCAATCTGACATTGTGATGGGAATCTTTTATTGGATTCTGGAGTTAAAGTTGTTTTAGGCTTTGTAAGAAGCTATACAGATTGCACTATAAAAATACTGTTGTACTAGACTGAGTCATAAAAAGCAGAGTCAATAATAAGGCACCAAGACAAGGAGTTATCATATGATTTTCATTCTCTATATAACTTGCTAATTCTGGTTAGCTCTTAGTCTTTCCATTCTTCATCCAATGACATTCCAAAGGAGTTTGTGTTTGTGTAGGGACTTTAGCTGCAATGCATTAAGCCTGATTTTGAGATTCTTGATGTAGCAGATACATTGCTGCATATGGTGTTTGTTGGTTTTTGTAATGGTATTGCAGTCATGATCCTTCAGCTGTAAAAGACATTCTCTGCTGTGTATTCTGAGATTTATCAACTTTGACAAATATGGCCCTCTGAGGAGTTCTGTTTGTGCAAGGTATGCCTGGTTACTCCTGATCCTCAAGCACTAGGCTGAGCCAACTTTCAGTCTCTTGATCTGGAAATGCAAGTTTTTTTGTATTTAGGGGCTCTGTTTAGGGCTAGCCATCAAGTTCCTACAAGCTGCAAGGATAGACGACTGCTTTTCTGCAGGACTAGCATCATTTGCAGGCAATTGTCTATTATGTGTAGCATAAAGAAAACTGAGCAACGCTCATTGTATCAATCACTTGGATATGAGTTTGGATTGGCTGGGAGTTACCTCAATGACTTCTGTAGCATTCAAAGTCCAGACCTAGGCTGTTCACTCATCTGCAGTGGACCTGCAATGAAGCCTGATCCTTCTAACTTGTTTTTTTTTTTTTTAATAGGGAATCTCCTAACATGAAACAGGTTTTGGCTTTTCAACTGTTGTCCTGGGTTCAGAATACAGTTCTGTCACAAGAAACAGGCAGTTAATGATTAATAAAATCTAATACAGAGTCTTTGGGACCCAAACTGTGTTTTTTCCAATTAATGTTTTCTGTGTAATGAGACTTAGTCCACATCCAAAAAGTCCACTGCAGTTTTACAAGATTCTAGCATGCTTTTTCTCAATGCTTTAGTACCCT